GATTTTTTGGTGATTTTGGGAGAATTTTGGGGTGATTTTTGGGTGATTTTGGGGTGATTTTTGGGGTGATTTGGGGGTAAATTTGGGATGATTTTGGGGATATTTTTGGGTAATTTTGGGATCATTTCGGGTTGATTTTGGGGTGATTTTTGGTGTTTTTTGGGGCGATTTTGGGGTAATTTTGGGATAATTTCAGGATAATTTTGGGGTAATTTTGGGGTGATTTTGGGGTGATTTTGGGGTGATTTTTGGGATATTTCTGGGATAATTTTGGGGTGATTTTGGGGTGATTTGGGGGTGATTTGGGGGTGATTTTTGGGATAATTTAGGGGATATTTTTGGGGTGATGTTGGTGTTTTTTGGGGTGATTTTGGGGTATTTTTGGGCTGATTTTGGGGTGATTTTGGGGTGTTTTTTGGGGTGATTTTGGGCTGATTTTGGGTGTTTTTTGGGGTGAATTTGTTGTTTTTTGGGGTTACCCTGGTCGAACTGGCGCTGCAGACTCTCCATCTCTGATTTGTTGCCGCTGACTCGATAAATCCCCTCCGTGCTCAGCCCTGACAGAACAAAACAAACAATTAAAAAAAAAAACAATGAAAAGAGCAGGAAAAATCCCCAAAAAATCCCGAAAATAATCCCCAAAAAATCCCCAAAAAAATCCCCCAAAAATTTCCCTAAAAATTCCCCAAAAAATCCCCAAAAAATCCCCAAAAATTTCCCTAAAAATTCCCCAAAAATTCCAAGAAATTCCCTGAAAATTCCCAAAAAATCCCTAAAAAAACCACTAAAAGGTTCCCAAAAGAATCCCCCAAAAAATCCCAAAAAACCAAAAAAATTTCCCTAAAAATTCCCAAAAAAGTCCCCAAAAATTCCCCAAAAAATTCCCCAAAAAATCCCAAAAAATCCCCCAAAAAATCCCAAAAAATCCCCAAAAAATTCCCAAAAACATCACAAAAAATCCCCAAAAAAATCCCAAAAAATCCCCAAAAAATCCCCCAAAAAATCCCAAAAAATCCCCCAAAAAATCAGAAAAAATCCCAAAAAATTCCCAAAAAATTCCCAAAGTCCCCCGAGTGTCCCAGGCACGCGCTGAGCTCACCGGTGGCCTCGATGTACTGGATGCAGCACTCGATGAACCCAAAAAATACCCTAAAAAAACCCTAAAATACGCCGAAAAATCCCAAAAAATTCCCCAAAAAATCACAAAAAATCCCAAAAAAAATCAGGAAAAATCTCCAAAAAATCAGAAAAAATCCCC